ACTAGTACACAGGTTATACCATGAAAGACCTAATTAACGACGCCCCCATTCAGCAGGAAGCAGTTTGGAGAGAAATAACTGCGCCCATATTCCCAAAAAATGTTTATAAATGTTCTTTTACATTTAAAGGGGGAAATGATATAGGTATGAATAATTTACATTGATATGGATTTTGTTTTAGTGATTTAAGGTCAATTTTGTTATATGTATATGTGTTTCTGATCTTGATTAAGGAACTGTGATTGTGTAGTTCATTTAAAGATGTAATGTATAATTAGAAATATAGATTGTTAATAGATAATCATAATAGTCAAGTTTGTAGTCATGTTAGTTAAGATTTTCTAGATGTACATAGATATATTTTAGATAGGCATTCTTCATATTTTTCAAAGATTATAGAATATGGCATTTTAAATGTTTTAATAATTTAGGACTTTTCATGACAATGAGACACTCTGCTCCTGGCAGCACCAATCTACTTCAAGAGGAAGATGGGCATCGAAGAGGCACCTTATGGAGTTTGATAGCCATTTGGGCAAGAAACTGCTCTTGCCTGGACTATTGCATAAACTGGACACAGAGAACCCGCAGAGAGAGGACTACTGAACTTGCCTAAGGTGAGATGATCTTTCGGGGTTCCTGATTCATTTTGAAAGAGTCTGCGAGACATTCTGCAGGACACAACAGATAGTGACTGAACTGACTTTGAATTTTCCTGCTTTATGGAAATGTCTGCTGGATACCATGGGCCTGAAGGCTGAAGATGGATGCCCCAACGGTACAAAAGAACTTTGGGTGACTGTCCAGGCAGCGAGATGTCTTTGTCATTTCTAGAGTTTGAAGTTTCTTAGTTCTTGTTTACTTAGGTAATATTATATCTTTCTGGAGTCTTTGATGGAGTTAAGAATAGTTAGTTATAGTTATAGTTTTTCTTAGTTATGATAAAGATTATTGTAACTTTTACTTGATAACTGTTTTGTTATATGTAATTTTGCTGTTAAAGCCTTTTTTTTTGTTTAAACCGAAAAAGGGGAAATGATGGAGGAAGGTCATTGGCTAATAAAGGCACTGCCCTGGCCCATTTTATTGGTTAGAGGATAGGTGGGAGGAGTAAACAGAACAAAATGCTGGGAGGAAGAGGAAGTGAGCTCAGAGTCTCGACAGCTTTCCTCTCAGGAGCAGACGCCTGAGAGAGACGCCATGCCCCGCTCCCGCATGAAGCTCCGACCCAGGATGGACTAGGCTAGAATCTTCCCGGTAAGACCGGTTCTCACAGATTATTAGAGATGGGTTGATCGGGATGTGAGAATTAGCCAGTAAGGGCTAGGGCTAAAGGGCCAAGCAGTGATTAAAAGAATACAGTGTCTGTGTAATTATTTTGGGCATAAGCTAGCCAGGCAGGCGGCCGGGGTGCTGAGAACGCAGCCCTGCCGCCCTTATTACTTCATAAAGCCAGGTGTGATGACACAGCCTTTAATCCCAGCACGTAGGATGCAAAGGCAGGTGGGTTTCTGTGAGATCAACAACAGACAGAGCTGTGGAGACAGACCTTGTCTTAAAAAAAAAAAAAAAACAAAAACAAACCAAAACCCAGGAGAGACCTGCAGGTCAGACTGATTTCATTCTCTCCACCACCCTTCCTCTTTCTTTTTCTCGTCATACTCAGACCCTGGATCTTCTAGAAGAAAAGTCACTTCTGGGAACACAATGGCAACAACAAGCTGGTTGGGATGAATGGTCTGTATTCTGTCAATTATATTTTTAATAAGCTCTGATCGCTGAAAAAGGTACTGAACCATGTGGCTAACATAGACAAGAATAATGGGCTAATGTAAGTTATAAGAGTTAATAAGAAGCCTGAGCTAATGGTCAATTAGTTTATAACTAATGTAGACCTCTGTGTGGTTTCTGTGGGACTTAATGATTGTGGGAACTGGGCAGGACAAGGACCGGGTGGGACAGAAAACCTCAGCCAACAAATGGTGCCCAATGTGTGGACATCTGCATCCACATAAATCCTGACAGAGCTTGGGAAGCAATTCTGGACAGAAAAGAATAGTGTTAACCATGGTTTATTGATAACAGCATTTTCTTAAGTGGGCTCTGCTTTCTAGATACATGGCTCTCATTTAAGAGAGGCTTCCTGACTCAGCTTTGGCTGCAAAACATTGCAGTTCTTTAAAGAGGTCCTGCCACGAAACACTTAAATGGTGTTGATGACATGCTTTCTGTTGGTGGCAGGGACCTTGAAATGCCATAGAGTTGTGGCAATAAACGTGGCTCTGGCAGGTACCTCAGCCATGAGGCTGGAATCTCAGAAAGCTAAGGAATGGACTGGATGTAGCCTTCAAAGCCATGGCTTTAATCCTAGCCATATGGTTTAGCAAATTAAAGACTCATGTGGTCAGAAAAAGAGAGAGAGATACAGCAAAGATAGATTCAAAGATCAAAAAAAAAAAAAAAAAAAAAAACGTCTAAATGGTTTACTGTGTTTAGAAATACATCCAGGCTTGGGAGAGAAAAGAAAAAGGTTAAAGTTCTTTAAAAAAAAAAAAAGTAATTCAGTATGGTGGCTCACACCTTTAATCAGCACTTGGAAGACAGAGGCAGGCAGAGCTCTGTGAGTTCAAGGACAGCCTGGTCTACATGGTAAATTCCAGGACAAAGATACACAGAAAAATTCTGTCTCAAAAAGCCAAAAATTAAAAATAAAAGAAATAGATGTTAAAATAAAGCCACGTAAAGACGAAAAATATAGAGTCTGGATACTGTATGTTATTATGTTCTCTTTGAATTGTTTGAATGCTGAGGAATGAACAACAGCTGCTAAAAGATATTTGTTTATAAATGCTGCTGAATTAACCCAAGATAGGTGTTTTAAAAATACCTTGACTTCAAAATTGAAGTCAAAATGTATGTTACTTTGGAGAAGGGGATTTGCTTTTGTTTTCACAGGAAATGAGAGGCTGTGGATTCATTCTGAGTTAAGAAAAATCAGGTTTGATCAAGGAAGACCACCTGAGAAATCTCTAGTAGGAACAGATGGCCCAGATTTCAGAGTTCTACATCCAGAACAGATTCAAGATGCTGCCTGAAATGATCAAGCCTCACAGGATACTCCAGTCAGGACATGATCATAATTCTAAATTTTCTATAGGTCCCCATAAGGTTATCAGCATCCCCAACCAGCAGGAAGTAGCCTGAAATACTATGCCCACGTTGCCAACAAAAGGACTATGGATATTTTCCTTTGTTTAAAAAAAAAAAGAGGGGGAAGTGGTGTGGGAGAATGGTCTGTATTCTGTCAATTATATTTTAAATAAATGCTGATTGGCCACTACCCAGGCAGGAAGTATAGGCAGGACAACCGGACAGGAAGTAGAGGTGGGTCAAGGAGAACAGGAAATTCTGGGAAGAAGAAAGCCCATTCCTCTGAAGTACTTGTCCAGCCACAGAAGAAGCAAGATATGACTGCCTCACTGAAAAAGTTCCAAGTCATGTGGATAACATAGGCAAGAATGGGCTAATATAAGTTGTAAGAGTTAATAAGAAGCCCGAGGTAATGGACTAATCAGTTTAAAACCAATATAGACCTCTTTGTGATTTCTGAGGGACTTAAAGACTGCAGGAACTGGGCAGGACAAGGACCAGGTGGGACAGAAAACCTCAGTCAACAGGGATGCAGTGCAGAGATGCTTCTCTTTAAAGCAGAGGTGCTGGCCTGCAAGCACCACACAGACTCCCACAGAGACCAGGCTCCTGTGTTCACCTGCAGTGGGCAGCTCACACTGCCAGGCCTGATGCACAGGATCTCACATGTAAACAGAGACTTTGCCTCTTCACTCAGGATCGTGTCTTCACAGCCTGTGCTTACACTCAGACTCCTAGTGTTTCTTCCCAGATGATCATCTGTGGCTCCAGGTGCTTGTGTTTTACACGGATCTTCATTTTACAGTCCTGAGACTGTCCATGTGGACCTGGGTCATTGTCTCAGCACAGTAGACCCCTTCTCCATGGGAAGAGACCCCTGTGGAGACCAAATGCAGCAGGGCACTGACGCTGTCTACACTCCACGTTTCCCTGTGTGCACACACTTCCATGGTACAGCTGCTTTAGTGAATAAGCCCCAGTCAGAGAGGAACTGTAATTAATTATACAGCAGAATAATGGTGACAGTATGACAGAAGTTACATAACCTGTGAGCATATCTCTGTCTCTCTCTCCATCTCTCTCTCTCTCTCTCTCTCTCTCTCTCTCCTTCACTCTCACTTTATGAGCTGATGAAATGAGGGAGATGAATGTCGCAGACTTGTGGGACCCTGGATCTGATAACAGTTGGCTTCTGAGCTCCTGGGCAGAGAGTGATTCTCATGGCAGAGGTACAAACTGGTATTTGAGGTTTCATCCATGTTCAATAGTGTGGAAAAAAATTTGATTTATACAATTTTTGTTTCTCTGGATTTTTACTTGTTGTCTTCAAATCCCGGTCACACATAACTGAAGTAGAAAGTGAAAGCAGAGGTGAGCAGGGCCTCCTTCCTGCAGGGAGAGTCACATATGACACAGTGTGTCGTAAGTGCTTAATCAGAGCTGTAAAATCTCCAGTCACCTCCCGATGCCGGTGTCCACAGCAGCCCCGCACCCTCCAGGACTCCGACTGCACCTGTTTCCTTGAACATCCATTTTAAGTGCTGTATTTTACCTGGAGAGTTCATGCTCCCAGATTTCATCCTGACTAACCTGAGGAGCAGTTGTCCTTTGGCGGCTCAGAGACACCATGACACCCAGCGCTCCATCCCGCAGCACAGGGCTCAGACAAAGTCTCAGTCCCCAGGCAGTGAGGCCTGGGTGGGGAAGCCCAGCGCTGGGAATTCCCCTGTCCCCAGTTTCACTTCTCCAGCTCCTAACCTGGGTCAGGTCCTTCTGCCCAGACACTGATGACGACTTGGCGGTTCTCACTCCCATTGGGTGACGAGATCCCGGGGAACCAACCAGCGTCTCCGCGGTCACCGGTCATAAAGTCCAAGCAGACTGAGGAACTCGGAAGCGCCTCGCTTCTGAGATGGCGTCGATGGCGCCGCGCACACTGCTCCTGCTGCTGGCGGCCGCCCTGGCCCCGACCCAGACCCACGAGGGTGAGTGCGGGGTCGGGAGGGAAACGGGCTCCGCGGGGAGGGCGGGGGCGGCACCGGGGAAGCCGCGTCCCCGCGTGGCCCAGCCGGACCCTCCCGCCCCTTCCCCACCCGCGTCCCGAGCCCCGCGCCCTGCTCCCCTCCCGGCCCGCGCTCCTGCCCGGGGTCCCGGGAGCAGGGTCGGGGTCTCACCGCGCGTCGCCCACAGGCTCGCACTCTCTGCGGTATTTCGACACCATCGTGTCCTGGCCCGACCTCGGGGAGCCCCGGTTCACTTCTGTCGGCTACGTGGACGACAAGCAGTTCGTACGCTACGACAGCGACGCGGAGACTCCACGAGAGGAGCCACGGACGCCGTGGGTGGAGCAGGAGGGGCCGGAGTATTGGGAGAGGGAGACACAGATCCTCAAGAACACCAAGCAGACTCTCCGAGGAAACCTGAGGACCCTGCTCGGCTACTACAACCAGAGCGAGGGCGGTGAGTGACCGCGGTCGGAGGTCACGACTCCTCCAGGTCCCCACGCACGGGCCGGAGTCGCCCCGGGTCCCAGGTCCGAGGATCGGGAGGAGAGCGGGGACCGGGCCCGGTTTCCCTTTCGGTTTAGAGTTCGCGGGTGGGCGGGGCCGCGGAGAGCCGGTGACGGGGGCGGGGCTGATCGCGGGGTCCCGGCAGGCTCTCACACTTTCCAACACGCATATGGCTGTCACGTGGGGTCGGACGGGCGCCTCCTCCGCGGGTATGACCAGTACGCATATGACGGCCGCGATTACATCGCCCTGAACGAGGACCTGAAGACGTGGACAGCGGCGGACACGGCGGCTCAGATCACCAAGCGAAAGTGGGAGCAGGATGGGGTTGCAGAGAGAATGAAGGCCTACCTGGAGGACACGTGTGTGCACTGGCTGCACAGATACCTGGAGAACGGGAAGGACGCGCTGCTGCGCACAGGTGCGGGGCCGCGGGCAACTCCTCCCTCTGCCCTCGGGCTGGGCTCAGTCCTGAGAAAGAGGAAACCCTCACTGGGGTCATGCCCCTGTCTCTGAGGGCAGACAGGGTCCCTGGGTCTCCAGATCCAGCATGGCAGGGACTGCACTGACCTCCCAGGGCTCAGCCTTCTCCCTGGACAGTTCCACATCTGTCTCAGGAGGGAGGAGAGAGGATCCCGACATCACCAACAGTGGCTCCTTCAGTCTGCAGCCTCTGTCAACCATGGCCTCTCCCAGGCCGGGTTCTCTGCCCACACCCAGTGTCTGTGGACACAGAGTCCTGTCATCTGAGTGTGTCAGCCCTTACACACCAGGACCGGAGTCTCCTTCACCTGATGGGAGACAATGACGCCCCTGATCCAATATCTACAACATTACAAGGAATACATTCTCCCTGATTCCTATGTGTGAGATGTGTATCCCTCCCACACCCCAACTCCTAGAATGGTCATGTGACTTATGGGGTGCCTGGGAAAGTACTAAACTGTTTTTCTTTTTTTTTTCTCCTTTTTTCTTTTTTTGGGGGGAGACTTTAATTGACTTTTCTTTTTTTGAAGTTGTCATTTTGATTTTAGTCAGTTTTTCTTTTAAAGTATTGTTTCTCTGCCCCCCCTTTTTTAAAGAAGACTTTATTTATTTACTATGTATACAATATTCTGTCTGTGTGTGTGTCTGCAGGCCAGAAGAAGGAACCACACCTCATTACAGATGGTTGTGAGCCACCATGTGGTTGCTGGGAATTGAACTCATGACCTTTGGAAGGGCAGGCAATGTTCTTAACCACTGAGCCATTTCTCTAGCCCCCACTCTGGCCCTTTTTATTATCATGTGTATCAGTCTCCACAGGTGCCATGGGGACTGGCACTCTGGATAATTAGACAAGTTAAGTCAGTGTTCCCTTTAATGAGAAAGATTCCTGGGAGCTTAGACTATTTTCTGCCAGAGACCCCTCTCCCTCTGCATCAGCAAGTTACAGTGTTGCCCTAGTGATGGTAGGAATTGAACTTCCTCAGAGACAGGGCCTTCTGCAACTCAGGGACCTGAGTGACAGGGAAGATCCACATACCCTGTGAGCACAGTTGTGTCCCAGTGAGTGCTGCACTGGGCTCCACAGCACACTTCAGGGATCCTGGGTGACAATACCTGGTATCTTATCCCCCAGAGACATGGCTTGGGGAGTCAGTTTCTTTGGCTGAGTGCCACAGGTTCACCATATTTCCTCTACTCACTTGGTGATGGTTCATAACTTGGAGGAACAGATACTCTGTTGTATAGGAGCAGCGGGGCTGCGTCCCACCACCCGGCTAGCTTTACACCCGAAATAATTACACGGAAACTGTATTCTTTTTTTTTTTTGGTTTTTTTTTTTTGAGACAGGGTTTCTCTGTGGTTTTGGAGCCTGTCCTGGAACTAGCTCTGTAGACCAGGCTGGTCTCGAACTCACAGAGATCCGCCTGCCTCTGCCTCCCGAGTGCTGGGATTAAAGGCGTGCGCCACCATCACCCGGCCGGAAACTGTATTCTTATAAACACTGCTTGGCCCATTTCTATATAGCCTCTTCTAGGCTAATTCTCACATATTAATTTAGCCCATTTCTAATCATCTGTGTAGCACCACTAGGTGCGCTTACCGGGAAGATTCTAGCCTATGTCCATCCTGGGTCGGAGCTTCATCGCATGTACCTCAGAGAACAGAGCTATCACATCTTCCCGGGAGAGGGGAGCATGGCGTCTCTGCTCCAAAGAGCAGAGCTGTCGAGTCTGAGCTCACTTCCTCTTCCTCCCAGCATTCTGTTCTGTTTACTCCACCCACCTATGTTCTAACCTATGAGGGCCAGCCAAGCAGTTTCTTTATTTCTTAACCAATGAAATCAACAGATTGATATATGACACTCCCACATCAATACACTAGGCAGCAAGGTGGCCTCAGTGGTTGTGCCTCAGTGGGGTTGCAGGAGTTGGAGGCACCTTTCATGTAGCCATGCTCCTAATTTCTCATTTTGATATGGATTTAATCACATATATGAATCAATTATTTATCCTTCCTTAATTCTCTTACTACCTAACTTACACTACAGAACATCACATAAGAAGACCATGTTAACCTGCTGGCTTATGTGGATTCCCTCCTAGTTTCTGGGTCTCCCAGGAAAATGTGCAGTTCTGTGATGAAGGGACCAGCTCTACCTGCAGGTCACTAGTGTGATGACAGAAATGTTCTAACAGGCACATAGTTCAGTGTCATCATTGATTTATCTTGTCTTTACAGGTTTCAGTTTATCTTGTTAATTGTGGGATTTCTTAAATCTTCCACACAGATCCCCCAAAGGCATATGTGACCCATCATCCTGGACCTAACGGTGATGTCACCCTGAGGTGCTGGGCCCTGGGCTTCTACCCTGTCTTTATCGCCCTGACCTGGCAGAGGGAGGAAGAGGAACAGACTCAGGACATGGAGCTGGTGGAGACCAGACCTTCTGGAGATGGAACCTTCCAGAAGTGGGCATCTCTGGTGGTGCCTTCTGGGGAGGAGCACAAATACACATGCCGTGTGTACCATGAGGGGCTGCCTGAACCCCTCACCCTGAGATGGGGTAAGGAGGGAGTGGGTGCAGAGCTGGGGTCAGGGAAGGCTGGAGACTTCTGCAGACCCTGAGCAGGGTCAGGGCTGAGAGCTGGGTCATGACCCTCACCTTCAGGTCCTGTCCTTCTTCCCTTCCCAGAGCCTCCTCAGTCCATGGTCCCCATCATGGCAGTCATTGCTGGTCTGGTTCTCCTTGGAGCTGTGATCATTGGAGCAGTGGTGGCTGTTGTGATTAAGAGGAGGAGAAACACAGGTAGGAAAGGGCAGGGTCTGAGTTCTCTCTCAGCTCCTTTTAGAAGAATCTCTGCCTCACTAATGGGAAACACATCCACACCCCTCATTGCTGCTGTCTCTACCCTGGGTCTGCTGTCAGTTCTAGAAACTTCCTAGGGTCGGGGACTTCCCTGGTCTTTCACAGCTTTTCTTCTCACAGGTGGAAAAGGAGGGAACTATGCTCCAGCTTCAGGTAAGAGTGGCGGGCAGGATTGTCCCTGAGGCCAGCGGGGTAAAGCTGCTGTGTTTGGGGAGCTCTGGCAATACATAATAGCTCCTCCAGCAAATCTTCTAGGGACAAAAATTTTAACTTCCCATGAATATATATCAATTTTTACCTCAGACAGAGACAGTTCCCAGAGCTCTGATGTGCTTCTTCCAGACCAAAAAGGTGAAACTCTGGGACCTGACTTGGCGAGGGGCAGAATGGACATGATTGGGTTTCAGGGACTGGAAGAATCATCTTTGAGTGAGTGGTGGGTTGTTGGGATGTTGTCTTCACAGTGATTGTTCATGACTCTTGTTCTGTAGCGTGAAGACAGCTGCCTGGTGTGGATGCAGTGACAGACGATGTGTTCAGGTCTCTCCTGTGACATCCAGAGCCCCTCAGTTCACTCTCAACAATAGAGTCTGATGTTCCTTGTGATCCCATGGGCTCAGTGTGAAGAACTGGGGAGCCCAGCCCACCCTGCACACCAGGACCCTGTCCCTGCACTGTCCTGTTCCCTTCCACAGCCAACCTTCCTGTTCCTGCAGACAGGAGGGGACATCTTCATCCTGTCTCCTCCATGCTGTCCTGAGCTTCAGCCCTGACTTCCCCACTGAAAATAAGAATCTGAATGTGAACTTTATTGTTCATGTCCTTGATCTCAAAGGTTGATTGGCGGTAAAATAAAGGATTGTACTAGAGTTTGTGGAGGAAATAAATGGCAGCATGGAGAACCTCCCAGAATCTGTGTTCACTGTGCTGTGTGCATCTGGTGGGACAGGATGAGGCTGTGGGAGCTGAGTGAGAACAGGGCTGTGCCCAGGTGGAGCTCAGTTCATTTTTGGCTTTGGCAAGGTCACTCAGAAACTTTATCACCTCTGGGCTCTGTTCTCTTGGTCACTTAGAACCTCATGCTGACATCTGTGATCACAGGGACACTGGGATGGCCAGAACCTGGTCCTCTCCCCGGGATTATGAGCCATCAGGCCTGCTGTGACAGTCATTGCTGCTGTCCTGGCTGTGGCTCTTTCCCCTGTCTTCTCTGTTAATTTCTTGCCTTTTTAGTTAGTATGGAGGACTAGGCCTGTTCTTGCTCCTGTGAGTGGTGCCTGCCTCATTATCCTGTGGGGTCCCTGAGTGACAGCAGTAAGAGGTGTCCCCTCAAGGCCCAACTAGGCCCCTGCACTCAGGAGACTGTGGGATGAGAACATGAGCTTCAGTCTCCTGAGCTCCTATCTCCCTTCAGGCCCCTCCCTGGAGGTTCTCTCCTTCTTTCCCATCTATCAAAATCTAACCTGGGTTGTAGGATGGACAGAGAGGAGGGATCCACAGGGTCTCATCTCAGATCTGTCCTGTGTTCTGCCCAAGGTCCCCTCTCCCTCTCTGCCTTTGGGAATCCTGTCCTCCCTCCAGTGGAGACTCGAGGATTTACAGGCTGAGTCTACTTTAGAATTATGTTTATTAAAAAACATGATCCAACTGGACCTTGGGGGCTCAGTCCACTGCTCCAATGTGGGTCTCTTTCTCTGTTTCTGTCTGTTGTTGGAAGAAGGTTCTATGGTGATATTTAAGATAACCATCAGCCTGACTGTAGGGCAAGGCTAGTTCAGGCACCCTTTCTATTGCTTCAGGTCTTAGCTGGGGTCATCCTTGTGGATTCCAGGGAATTTTTCTAAAGCCAGGTATCTTGCTAACTCCAAAACGGCCCCCTTAATTAAGATATCTCTTTCCTTTCTCTCATATCTGTACTTCCTCCATCTCAACTATCCCATTCCCTCATGTTCTCCCCAACCCTTTCCTTCTCCCCTCCTCTTCCCCTTCTCCCCTTCCTTTCACTCGCTGCCCCCATGCTCCCAAATTTTGCCAGGCCCTTGCTAAACCTGGATGTTGTGGGCAGGACCTTGGACTTTCCATAGGGCAGGGTGACTTGCCCTCTCTTAAGATTGAAGGGGTTCCCAAAGAAGAAAAAAATACACAAATTAACATCATCAATGATGAAAACTAAATTAACAGGAGATAGCAATCAATGGTCCTAAAATTCAATGAAAATGACCACACAACATACCTGAATTTATGGGACACAATGAAAGCAGTGTTAAGAGATAAGTTCATAGCACTAAAGGCCTACATAAAGAAGCTGGAAAAATCCCACACTAGTGAATTAACAGAACATTTGAAAACTTTAGAACAAAAAGAAGCAAACTCACCTAAGAGAACTAGAGGGCAGGAAATAAAGTGAGAGCTGAAATCAACCAAATGGAAACAAAACAATACAAAGAATGAGACAAAGAGCTGCTTCTTTGAGAAAATCAACAAAATAGACAAACCTTTACCCAGACTAACCAAAAGGCAGAGAGAAAATATCCAAATTAACAAAATCAGAAATGAAAAGGGAGGCATAACAACAGACATGGTGGAAATACAGAGAATCATCAGGTTATATTTTGAAAACCTGTACTCCACAAAATTGGAAAACTTAAAGGAAATGGACAACTTTCTGGATAAATAACACTTACCAAAATTAAATCAAGACAAGATAAGCAAATGGAACAGAACTATAACTGCTTAAGAAATAGAAACAGGGCTGGAGAGATGGCTCAGAGGTTAAGAGCATTGTCTGCTCTTCCAAAGGTCCTGAGTTCAATTCCCAGCAACCACATGGTGGCTCACAACCATCTGTAATGGGGTCTGGTGCCCTCTTCTGGCCTGCAGGCATATACACTGACATAATATTGTATAATAAATAAATAAATAAATAAATAAATAAATATTTTTTAAAAAAAGTATATGGGAGTATATACAGTATATGATACACCAAAAAAAAAAAGAAATAGAAACAGTCATCAAAAGTCTCCCAACCAAAAAAATCCCAGGACCAGATGGTTTCAGCGCAGAATTTTACAAGACTTTCAAAGACTCCCTAATACCAATATTCCTCAAATTATTCCACACAATAAAAATAGAAGGAACATTGCTAAACTCTCTTTTTAATATTTATTTATTTGTTATGTATACAATATTCTGTCTCTGTGTATGCCTGCAGGCTAGAAGAGGGCATCATACCTCATTACAGATGGTTGTGAGCCACCATGTGGTTGCCGGGAATTGAACTCAGGACCTTTGGAAGAGCAGGCAATGCTCTTAACCGCTGAGCCATCTCTCCAGCCCCTGCCAAACTCTTTTTATGAGGCTACAATTACCATGATACCCAAACCACAGAAAGACATTACTAAGAAAGAGAATTACAGACCACTCTCACTCATGAACATTGATGCAAAATTACTAACTAAAACACTGGAAAATAGAATCCAAAAACACCATGATCGAGTCGGCTTCATCCCACAGATGCAGGGATTGTTCAACATACAAAAATCTGTCAACGTAATCCACCATATAAACAAGCTGAAAAGTAAAAACCACATGATCATCTCATTAGATGCTGAAAAAACATTTGACAAAATACAACATCCCTTCATGATAATGGTGTTGGAGAGAGCAGGGATACAAGGAACAAACCTAAACATAATTAAGGCAATATACAGCAAGCCAACAGCCAACATCAAACTAAATGGAGAGAAACTCCCAGCGATTCCACTGAAATCAGGAACAAAACAAGGTTGTCCACTCTCTCCATATCTATTTAATATAGTTCTTGAAGTCCTAGCTAGAGCAATAAGACACCAAAAGGAGATCAAGGGGATACAAATTGGAAAAGAAGAAGTCAAACTCTCACTGTTTGCTAATGATATGATAGTATACATAAGCGATCCAAAAATTCTACCAAGGAACTTCTACAACTCATGAACACTTTCAACAATGTAGCAGGATACAAGATTAACTCAAAAAAACCAGTAGACCTCCTGTACACAGATGATAAAGGGGCTGAGAAAGAAATCAGAGAATCAACACCCTTCACAATAGCCACACATAGCATAAAATATCTCAGAGTAACTCTAACCAAACAAGTGGAAGATTTGTGTGACAAGAACTTTAAATCTTTGAAGAAAGAAATTGAAGAAGACACCAAAAAGTGGAAAGATCTCCCATGCTCTTGAGTAGGCAGAATTAACATAGTAAAAATGGCAATCTTACCAAAAGCAATCTACAGATTCAACGTAATGCCCATCAAAATTCTAGCAAAATTCTTCAAAGACCTTTAAAGAACGGTACTCAACTTCATATGGAAAAGCAAAAAGCTCAGGATAGCCAAAACAACCCTGTACAAGAAAAGAACTTCTGGAGGCATCACAATCCCTGACTACAAACTCTACTGCAGAGCTACAGAACTGGAAACAGCCTGGTATAGGCATAAGAACAGATAGGAGGACCAATGGAACCGAATAGAAGACCTGGATATCAATCCACACATTTTTGAATGCCTGATCTTTGATAAAGAAGCAAAAAATATCAAATGGAAAAAAGAAAGCATATTTAACAAGTGGTGCTGGCACAACTGGATATCAACATGTAGAAGAATGAAAATAGAACCATATTTATCACTATGCACAAGACTCAAGTCCAAATGGATCAAACACCTACATAAAGCCAGCCACACTGAACCTTATAGAAGAGAAAGTGGGAAGTATACTTGAACACATTGGCATAGGGAACCACTTCCTAAATATAACCCCAGCAGCACAGACACTGAAAGGAGACTGGAGAGATGGCTCAGAGATAAGAATCCTGACTGCTCTTCCCGAGGACTTCAATCTATTGAACCCTGTTGTAGGCTCACAACTATTTCTAACTCTAATCCCCAGCGGCCTCAAGCTCCTGCTGCTGGCCTCCCCACCATGGTGGACTGTATCCCTGAACCATAGGCCAGACAAACCCTTCCTCCCTAAGCTGCTTCTTAGCGGGCATTCAGTCACTGTAGATGGATTTTTCTTTGGTCTGCCAGTTCACAAAAAAAAAAAAAGGCATAGAGACAATATTAATTATAAAATTCAGCCTTAGCGTAGGCTTGTTCCTAACTAGTTATCATAACTTAAATTAACCCATATCTTTACCTATATTCTTTTATGTGTCTCAGTCACCTTCACTCTGTACTGCCCACCCATCTCTCCTGCCTAGCTGTTTGTTGCTCAATGTTTTATGACACCAATCACAGCATTGCATCTTCACAGTGTGCAAACACTCCACACCAATCACAGTATTGCATCTTCACAGTGTGCAAACACTCCACACCAATCACAGCATTGCATCTGCATAGTGTGCAAACACTCCACACCAATCACAGCATTGCATCTTCACAGTGTACAAACATTCCACACCAATCACAGCATTGCATCTGCACAGTGTGCAAACACTCCACACCAATCACAGCATTGCATCTACACAGTGTGCAAACATTCCACACCAATCACAGCATTGCATCTTCACAGTGTGCAAACACTCCACACCAATCACAGCATTGCATCTTCACAGTGTGCAAACACTCCACACCAATCACAGCATTGCATCTGCACAGTGTGCAAACATTCCACACCAATCACAGCATTGCATCTGCACAGTGTGCAAACACTCCACACCAATCACAGTAATGGTAAAGTAACTGTGCTGGTGACTCACCTGTTGCTATGATAAAACATCTTGTCCAAGACAACTTAAGAAGGAAGGGTTTATTTGGGGCTCAGGTTGAGAGAGTTAAGGGTCCATCGCCACCATGGCAGGGAAGCATTGCCGCAAGTGACAGGCATGGCAGCAGGAACAGCTGAGAGCTCACAACTCCAACCATGCCCCAG